GTTTCATTAGAGAAGAACCCGTCCAGAAGACCTGTACTATTTTTTTCTTTTAAATTTAATCCTGTCATTAATAACGTTAGATGTCAGAGCACTAAAGGGATCCAAAAGGGGCTCGTCCGGGATTTGAACCCGGGACCTCTCGCACCCTAAGCGAGAATCATACCCCTAGACCAACGAGCCATGTTTGCCCACTCTCCACATCTGTAGTTTTGGGCCAGGCAGCAGAGAAACATCTGTCTGATCTGCTGATGTGGCAGGTCTCACAGGTCCAACAGCTCCACCTGCTGGATCAGACTCACAACAACAGTTTTTGGAGGTACGATTCTTGCTTTGGGTGTGAGAGGTTCTGGGTTCAAATCCCAGATGAGTTGATCTATGATTACTGATTCCAGGAAATCACTTGAGTAGATGTGATTTTTCCAACAAGCATCATTGTGATATTTCAGTCATCTGCAGCAGTGGTTCCTGTCTGGCCCATCAGAATCCTGAATGTTCTGGAGTTAGCTCTGTTTCAACAAGTTGTGTCAGAGGTGGAGTCAATTTAAACCAATTTATTTTAGAAAACATAATCAAACTGCTGCTGGCTTGTTTCTAACCTGGTAGTTTGAGAGTGTATTTAACCCACAACACAAAAAAATATAAATATTTTACAGCACGGATCAGTTTCATCTTAATAAAAATGAATTTGACAGAGTTTATATTGTTTTTTTCCTAAGAAACATTTGTTTGAAGTGAGAGTGTAACCTTTGATGGACAGCTCATAACAAATGAGAGCAGAAATAAAGAGTCTTTTCTCCACTAAACTGCTACATGAGTGGATCAGAGTTCTGAGTGGACCTGATCCGATGAAAGGCTCACAGGACAGGTGAGCGGTTTTGCTGGTGAACAGGTTAACAAACTGTTTGTGTCGATGAAAACAGCCGCTGAAGGCCTCACAGCGTCATTGTTAACCCTTTCAAAGAGGCTTTGTGCTGCCAACAGAAACACGTACGCTGACTCAGCGATGTGCAGCACAAAGCCCGGGACGACTCTCAGGTGTATAAAGGCAGCCAGCTCGCACAGGTGTCACAGCAGCAAACCTTCCACCGGCTCAGAGACGCACAGCAGCCAAACCCAGCCAAGATGTCCGCCACCGACATGAACATGATGAGCAGGGTGAGTCGCAGCATCTTCCCTCCTCTCTGACAGGAAGAGCAGGAAATATGTTTGATCTGAAACATTCAGTTCACTCAGTTTGGACTGAGATTCAGTCAAACATTTACAGACAGGCAGCGTGGTATAAAGTACCACAAAGTGATACTTGAGTAAAAGTACAAGTATCTTACCAAAAACTTACTTTGGTAAAAGTTAAAGTCTCCTTCAGGAATATTACTTGAGTAAAAGTCTTAAAGTATGTGATATTTGTTGTACTTAATAAAAGTCAAAGTAACGATTTAAAATGAGCAGTTAGATTTTCTGTAAGGACATTTATTAGGAGGTG